TCTAGCATTGCGAGATGCAGTTCTCTCACACGCCAAACCCATTGGAAACTTTGTTCAAATTCCAAATTCAGTAGCTACTCGTGCTCAGTCTCAACCAATCTAGCATTGCGAGATGCACTTCTCTCATACGCCAAACCTATTGGCAACTTTGTTCAAATTCCAAATTCAGTATCTACTCGTGCTCGGTCTCAAGCAATCTGCCATTGCGAGATGCACTTCTCTCATAGGCCAAACACATTGGCAACTTTGTTTAAAATCCAAATTCAGTAGCTACTCGTGCTCGTTCTCAAGCAATCTAGCATTGCGAGATGCACTTCTCTCATACGCCAAACCCATTGGCAACTTTATTTAAAATCCAAATTCAGTAGCTACTCGTGCTCGTTCTCAAGCAATCTAGCATTGCGAGATGCACTTCTCTCATACGCCAAACACATTGGCAACTTTATTTAAAATCCAAATTCAGTAGCTACTCGTGCTCGGTCTCAAGCAATCTAGCATTGCGAGATGCACTTCTCTCATACGCCAAACCCATTGGAAACTTTGTTCAAATTCCAAATTCAGTAGCTACTCGTGCTCGGTCTTAAGCAATCTAGCATTGTGAGATGCACTTCTCTCATACGCCAAACACATTGGCAACTTTGTTCAAATTCCAAATTCAGTAGCTACTCGTGCTCGGTCTCAAGCAATCTGGCATTGCGAGATGCACTTCTCTCATAGGCCAAACACATTGGCAACTTTGTTTAAAATCCAAATTCAGTAGCTACTCGTGCTCGGTCTCAAGCAATCAGTAGCATTGCGTGATGCACTTCTCTCATACGCCAAAAACATTGGCAACTTTGTTTAAAATCCAAGTTCAGTAGCTACTCGTGCTCGGTCTCAAGCAATCTGGCTTTGCGAGATGCACTTCCCTCATGCGCCAAACACATTGTCAACTTTATTTAAAATCCAAATTCAGTAGCTCCTCGTTCTCGCTCACAAGCAATCTAGCATTGCGAGATGCACTTCTCTCATACGCCAAACATATTGGCAACTTTGTTTACTGAAAAAGCCAAATTCAGTAGCTACTCGTGCTCGGTACCTTACGAAAAAATTCTATAGGAATTCCTATAGGAATTCCTATAGGATCCTATAGGAATCGCTATAGGAAGATCCTATATAGGAATTCCTATAGGATCCTGTAGGAATCCCTATAGGAATTCCTATTAGATTTTGGCCCAATTTCCTATAGGAATTCCTATAGGAAATTGGTCCAAAATCTAATAGGAATTCCTATAGGAGTAAGGAATTCCTTAGATTCACACAGAAATTCATATTGGATCATATAGAAATTCTTGCATAATCCTCTAAATCAAACTGTCTAAAAGAGTTATTTACCAAGGTGAAGGAAAAAGAGAAACAACTAGTGAAAAAAAAATTATTACAGATAAAAATGTGACAAATATATAAGATGCTATATTGACATATAACATACTAATTTAGGCTATTTATCTTTTTAACTTATGACATTTTTCATTGTTCTCAGTTTAAGAAAGGTTTCTTATATTTTCTTACTTTTAGAAAATTTTTAGGCATAAAATTGTACTATATTATATTACCTATTTATGTATTTAAAAAATAGAAAATTCTGTATGCACTACATAAGTTTTATTTTCTGTCATTCTTATACATGACTATGTTTAGTTCTGATTGCACAGCAATGTGTTGTGGCAAATAGAGTTTCTCACAAAGCTGTACTATAAAACACTTTCCACTGCACAAACAATATTATGACCTAACAAACCATTTGTTCAAGTCCATTGATTTCTTCATGTACATTTAATACTGCTCCAAGCACAGCGTGCAAATGCAACCAGAGATCCATCATATCGGAATCTGTAAAAGGAAAACTTTATTTATTTGAAAATATAACCATAATGAGTAAATTATACCCTATAAAAAATAGAACAATGGACTTGCTTCCTAATCTGAGACACTCCTCAGTCAGTTATAAGGGACTATTAACTCTTGATGTAAAAACAGTTTTTAATTAATATTTAACAATTATTGAATGAGGTTGAGCATGATATGAAGAATTATCAAGCCCAAAGTTTGCCGTTATCAACTGAAGCCGAAGGCTGAGATTGATAACCGTTACGGCAAACTGAGGGCTTGATAATTCTTCATATTGTGCAAAAACCAAATTCAATAATTGTTTTATTATTTATTTTAAAAAATCAAAACAAATGGAACCCATTTGTATTTTATTTGTATTTTATTTGTATTAAGGATAAAAAATTCCTATTTAGTTCTTCGGCAGCCGTCATTGTCATCATATCAATGGCGTCAGTGAGTTGATATGATTCTCGTTGTCATAGTAATATGGCGCAAACACATCCAAATTTTTTTCATATTGACTCTTTGACGTCATTTTGCCAATATGAATGTGAAAAATCCATCTTTGGTTAGCCACTGAGTTGATATGACAATTTCACAGATGGCTGTTACCCAATCAAAAACCAGAAATTTTTTAAATAAATAATAATAAGATTTATCCTTTATATATAAGATAATTTCCATAGTTTATTGTCATAATCACCATGAATTACAAAGACTGTTCATATTGGTACAAGGTAATGCAGGGTGCAATATGTATACTGGGTTTGGTGAATAATCCAAGTGAAAACTAAGTCCTCTGGCAGTAATTGAACCTATGGCCCTGCGTTTACGGACCTCAGTTGGTTAGACCTCTGCCCCGGAAGTACAGGACTGTAGGTTTAATTCCTGGTCGAGGATTTTAAGTGTTACATTTTTCGCAATCGTTCCTGGTTATAGGTCTTAATTAAATAGTGTCTATATATATAATTATATCTCATTTGTGTCGGTTTTCTTTGATCGTCTGAGGTTTATAACTAGCTAATATACCTTGAATAAATAATTACATCAAACTTTTCGACAAAACGCAAGAATTTTTCACCAAACTTTTTGAAAATGACAAAATATGTTAGAAAACCTCCACAAATGAGGTATAAGTTAGTTATAAACTTTGAAAGTCTGTTTATAACTGATATATTGCCCTTGGACGCTACGCGTCCTCGGGGGCAATATATCAGTTATAAACCTCCTTCTCGGTTTATAACTCTAACTTATATATATTGGATTATCCACCAAACCCAGTATTCTAGTCCAACCAAGTGAAGTGCAAATAATATCTTTCAAGTTGTAATATGTATAATATGTATAGTATGTTAAGTAGAGACATGGCTGTGGGCAGAGAGTATAGGGATATGCTGGATTGGCCGATTGGGTTACTGGCATCCGACAAAATACTGTATAGGCCATCCAAAACTATCAATGCCGTGCCACATATATTTATGCTTAATATATAAAGTGATAAAGCACATATTAAATAAACTATGGACTATTGTTAGTGAATCTGGTTATATTTGCTGATTGTTGAGAACAATATTTGGAGCCAGGGCTACATGCAAGCACTGCCCAGCTCAAATATTAATCTTGAAATATACAAAGACAACATTTGAGGCACTGTCTCAGCACTATCATTGCGAACATCACTTTATACAAGTGAAGCTCTCCCCTTGACAAGTAAAATCATCTGGCAATTTATACAGAGCAATGCAAACACTTGAGCACATTAAGATTGATTATTGATATACTAAAAATTATTATTTAGATTAGATTATTGATATTCCAATCCTTATTGAAGTACTAAAATGCAAACATATCTTTAATTAAAAGCATTCGGATGTTTAATATATATTATTTCATATAATTATTTACCCAGCTTGACAATAGTCTCAACTCTTAAGCAAAGTGCCAATCAATTATGCCAAAGAAAATATTGCTAAATTGTTAATAATAGTGTGAAATTTAGTATAGAATTCACAATAATAGGTTCGAATCTATATTTCATTCTTTCTTTACTGCCAGAAACCCACATTTTGTATGTTTTATATGCAAATTGAACGCGGCAAATTCAAACATTCAACGGAATTTTAAGACACATGGCCCACATGGGTGACATGGCTCAAGTTAACAATCATATTCACCACATTATTTCGCAATTAAAGTGCTTAAATAATAAGTCAAATACAAAAGTATTCTTACCTGTGACATCTGAATAACATGTTAAGAACTTTCCGATTCCTTTTCCACCGTTTGGGTTAACAATATCAACGAAATATTCCAAGCACAAAATTATAAGACACCAAATATTTTTTATCACAAATAAAATGATCCTATCCCATGAAGCTTTGCGCTCTGAAACGTAAACTAGTAGTCACCAGGGCGTCCAGTTGAAGCGCGAACTATTGGCTGTGTCTTATATTCTTATAGGGATAAAATTCCGATAGGAATGCTTGTATTAGGGACCATCAGGAATTATAGAAATCCTAGCTAGCTAAACACATTGATACTAAAAACATATAACCGCTGAGTATTTTAGCAAAATACAAAACAAGTGTACCTCCAAAGATCATGCAATAACAATATATATCAATGTAGATCGATATCGATCTTTGGAGTTACACTTGTTTTGTATTTTGCTATAAAAAACAGAGTAAAAACATATAATAGCAGCAATAGGATTCTATATAACATCCTATACGAATTCCTATAGGAAATTCAAAAATTAATTTATTTATTAGAAAATTTGTTTCCCTATAGGAAATTCCTATAGGAAATTCCTATAGGAAATTCCTATAGGAATTCCTATAGGAAATTCCTATAGGAAATCTTTTCCTATAGGATCCTATAGGAATTCCTATAGGAAATTCCTATAGGAATTCTATTCCTATAGGATCCAATAAGAATTCCTATAGGAAATGCATTTCCTATAGGAATTCCTATAGGATCCTATAGGATTTTTTCGTAAGGGGTCTCAAGCAATCTGGCATTGCGAGATGCACTTCTCTCATACGCCAAACGTATGAATATCTCGAGGAACTTGATGAAATGAATTGGTCAGTCCGAGGTAATGTATTGAATCAATATTTGAGCAACACTTATACTGGAAAGACAGTAACAAATATTTTATATTTTGAACACCAACTGCACAATATAATAATACAAATTTTCGTTTACATGAAATACAATAGGTTAGTTAAATTAATTATTAATATAATAGACTATTTATAATCCGTGATCACTCAGTGGTGAGGTGTCCTTCATCACCCTAAGAAAATCTGCTAAGCTTGACCATGCATGCATTTCTTGCTTTTCGAAAGCGGTTAGAATAGAACTTCTATGAGACAATGCTCAGATTGTTTATATTTAAATATCACTGCTAAATAATAAACATGTCAAGGTTGTTATACAGCCATTATACTGTACTTTAACAAAAAGATTTACTGCACTGTGCTACAGCAACTGTCCAGTCACGCATACATAGAAAAGGCCGATATAAACCATAGATATCTTATATACACTAGATCGCGCATCTCTTTTAGTAAAATTGAAGCCAAGAATATTCCAGCGGTTACCCCCATTTGAATAGATGGCGGCCATGTTGGTCGTTACCACTTGCTAATAAATGCTTAAAAACAACAATAACTTTCATCATTTGAATAGTTTAAAAACGTATTTGGAATAGGGTTAACTTAATGTTTAAGTTCCCTGTTTAAGAAATAGAAAACATACGAATCTCGTCATTTCATGGATGGGAACGACCTGAGACTGCAATCACAGCTTCAATTTTTGAATTGCAGAATAATTAGATGCACTATCTAGTGTATATAAGATATCTATGATATAAACACAAAATAATGTAAAACATAACGTTATGGAAGGCAAACATGCAGATTCGACCATTTCAAATAATGGTGATGTTTGGATGCTAGCGTTGCAGACTGCAGAGGAGAGTGGGCAGTAAGGCTCCCTCATGCACCACCTCATGGAAAACCAGCACTCCTCCTTGCAGATGCGGCTGGAGTCGCCCATGCATGCTTGTATAGATACATCGAATTTCAAAATAGATATAAATTTGACAATGACAAAATTAATTACAAAGACAAAGTTCTACTATTCTAACCAAATCTTATTATACTAAAGGCCGGTTTACACGACCAGTGTTTTGGGCACGGCACCACTAAAAATGGGCACCCGTACCCAAAATTTTAGGCACGGCACCTCTGCCTTTTGGCGTGTAAACGTGACAAAAATCGGCACCGGTGCCGCAAAATTTAAACGTGCCGAGACTTTCTCACGAGGTAGTCTCGGCACGTCTAGCAAGGGGTGCCGTGCCCAAATTTCGAAAAAACTAAAAAATGTGTTCGACATCTAGCATGCGCAAAACAAATTGTCCTCTTTCCAACATGGCAGCAAGCGGCGAAAAACTACAACTTGCCAAAAATTTAAATAAAACAAAGTTAAAAAACAAATTTAACACAGAATGTGAATGTTGCTCTAGTTGACTCGGAAATTTTGATACCACTGTTCGTCGCTGAATATAGCAGTAACTATAGGTCGTAGCAAATAGCTGTCGTTCGATGCGTCCATACCTCTCGAATTCGTGGCGGGTGAATACAAGATGGCACAACATTAATGCGAGAAAACAACTCCTTTCGTCTTTAAGGGCCTGTTCATATGGGCAAAGGTTATCCCGGTTAACGAGAAAACTTTTCGACTAGCCAAATATACTTTTGTTCTGTTCACATGCATGGAGAAACGTTATTCCGCTTACCGGGTAAAGTTTCCGGCTGTGACATAGGCTCATAGCACTGAATATCGATTGAATTGAAAAGTTACTGTCATGACAGAAAGCTATCCTGCCAAGCGGGAACTAGAGTTGTGTTCATATGGGAAAAACATTATCACTTGACAAGCGAGATCTCGGTACGTACACGGGAAAACGTTTTGTCTTAATTATATGAACGCAGTGTAAACTAACTTTTCATATTATTTTCATACCAACACTGTTAATTTGAAGGTGTTAAAATAGCACCTTCGTAGGTGTTAATATGACACCTTGTGGTGGTGTTAAATAAAAAGTGTTAATCTAACACCAATTTGGGTGCTGAAT